AAAATAAATGCTCTGCATTAAAAAAATTCTTTTCTTTATATTTTATGTTTATCCACATATTCTTAGAAACTCTACCCCCTGTTAAAAGTTTCACAGGGTAGTAGTAAATAACTCATTTTTCCTTCTTACTTAACCTAAAAAATGCCTACCATGAACACTCTTGATAAGTGTTTGTGCATAAATAATACCAAACAAGATAAAGTCATAAGTTTTTTGCTTTATAATAGTTGTGTAATATTCTGCCATGTATTTTTTCTCTCAAGACCTCATTTTTTTCATTTGTATATCTCCATATCATCTTCAAATACTGGTGAATGTACTTTTTCCTTTTGTTTTATAACATAACATAAAATAAAACATTAATATAATCACATATACATATTGGCTTCTATATTGACTATCATTTAGCAACTGTTATTCTTTCTTCTCATAAGCAACCATCTTGTTCTCAATAGTTAAAAAATGCTTTCATATTGTATTTTCATCTGCTGTTACCTTATCACTAATAACTGTGTAGTGGGTGCTGCCAACACATGTACCTGTAAAGTGATTAGATACTTTCAAAGTAGGAGTTATAGCAAAATTTATATTTCAAATAAAAAGTAAAAATTTTGAGTATCTTTTGATTTTCTTTTTCTTCTATTTTGCCAATGGATTACTTAGTACCTTATTGATTATCACAAAAACTAAACATTTGGAGCAGATGCTTATGTGTTATGAAAAGCAAGATAGGATTCAACATTTGAACTTTTTTTGAGACAGAGTTTCGCTCTTGTTACCCAGGCTGGAGTGCAGTGGCACGATCTCCGCTAACCGCAACCTCTGCCTCCTGGGTTCAGGCAATTCTCCTGCCTCAGCCTCCTGAGTAGCTGGGATTACAGGCCAGCGCCACCATGCCCAGCTAATTTTTGTATTTTTAGTAGAGATGGGGTTTCACCATGTTGACCAGGATGGTCTCGATCTCTTGACCTCGTGATCCACCAGCCTCAGCCTCCCAAAGTGCTGGGATTACAGGCGTGAGCCACCGCGCCTGACCAACATTTGAACTTTTTAAGAAAAATTATGAAATGCACTTGCATTTGTTGACCTCTGATGCAACAATGTGAGATGGCTGGATTACTGATGAGGAGAGAACCATTTTCATTTCGTGTGAGGAAAAGTGGATGCATACTTTTATTATCCAGAGATATTTTAGTTTTGTTTCTAAGAAAGTATGATATTTGTATTTTGTTCTAAATCCTATCAAACATTACACAAGGGATTTTTTTGAAGAAAAAAATAATTTAAGACAGGATTGATATTAAAAGTAATAGTCTGGAGGGAGGCTGAGGCAAGAGAATTGCTTGAACCCAAGAGGCAGAGGTTGCAGTGAGCCAAGATTGTGCCACTGCACTCTGTCTCAAAAAATAAAATTAATTAATTAATTAATTAATAATAGTCTGGCAAAGATGGTCTATGTTGGAGGGTCAGGTGTTCATCAATTCTGTGGCATTTAATGAAGAAATTGCAACATCTCTTGAAAGAAAAAGATTAAGAAACTTACAAAAATAAACTGAAAGGATGAGTGAGGAATTAAGGAATTAGTAATAACTTTTCTTTTAATCTCTTGGGAGATTTCAATCCAACACATATGTTTTTCAAGTGCATACACTGAGTCACACTGACCTATAGCATAAAAAAATTGAAGGTCAAATTTTGGACATTCTAGTGACTGTTTAGTAATAGAAGAGGGGTATCCCCCAGTGCAAAGAACAAGAGCATTTATCTTTCAGCATGATCTGTATGAAATACCACTCATGCGATTCCATATTTACAAGGAAACATTTTGTTAGCATCTCAGGAATGCTGTTGTTGGGATGGTGTTATCATGGATGAATTACAGCTATCAGGGTAAATATACCTCGTATATTAGTGCATTAGTTGAGCAGTTTATAATCTTGGGGCTCTTGTGAATTGATCTACCTTAGTCCACCACTTCCAGCCTTTGAGACATTCATCAGTTGGACGTACCTGTTCATATACAACTACACAGTGTTTGGGCTACATTTGTTAACCATTATTTAGTTTTGTGCTCTTTATTCAATTCTCCTTTATATAATTAACAGTATATAAGCTAAGAAAACATTTGGCTGAGGTCTGGAACTTACGTATACATTCATGCTTCACTTAACAATGGGGTTATGTTCTAAGAAATACATCATTAAGCAATCTTTTCATTGTGCCAATATCATAGAGTATATTTACAAAACCTAGATGGTCTAGCCTACTACACATCTAGGCTCTATGCTATAGTCTATTGCTTCTAGGCTATAAACCTATACAGCATGTTACCGTTCTAAATACTGCAGGCAATTGTAATGCAATGGTAAGTATTTGTGTATCTAAACATATCTAAGCATAGAAAATGGATAATAAAAATACTGTATGAAAGATAAAAATGAGACACCTATATAAGGCACTGAAAATAAAATGAAGCTTGAAGAAACGGAAGTTGCTCTAGGTTAGTCAGTGAGTAGTGAGTAAATGTGAAGGTCTAGGCCATTACTGTGCACTACTGTAAACTTTATAAGCACTGTATACTTAGGCGACAAAAAATTTATACATTTTTCTTTCTCCAATAATAAATTAAACTTAGCTTACTGTAACTTTTTTATGTTATAAACTTTTACATTTTTTAACTCTTTGACTCTTATAGTAACCCTTAGCTTAAAACACACATTATGTAACTGTACAAAAATATTTTTTCTTTATATCATTTTATAAGCTTTTTTATCTAATTTTAAAATTTAATTTTTTCAAAATTATTTAACTGTTTTTGTTAAAAACTAAGACATAAACACACACATTAGCCTAGGCCTACACAGGGAAGGATTAGTACAGGATCTGCCTCCATATCTTGACCCACTGGAAGATCTTCAGGGGCAATAACACATCTGGAGCTGTCATCTCCTATGATAACAATGCCTTCTTCTGGAATATGTCCTGAAGTAACTGCTAGAGGCTGTTTTACAGTTAACTTTATATATATATATTTATATATATATAAAGAGTACACTCTAAAATAATGATATAAAAAGTATAGTATAGTAAATATATTAACCAGTAACATATTGTTCATTGTCATTATACAATATTATGTGTTGTACATAATTGTATGTGAATAATTATATGTACATAATTGTATGTGCTACACTTTTATACAACTGGCAGTGCAGATGCTTGTTTACATCATCATCACCACAAACACATGAGAAATACATTGCACTACTATGATCAGATGGGCATGACTGCCATGATGACTATGACATGTTAGACAATAGGGATTTTTTAGCTCCATTATAATCTTATGTGATCACTGTCACATACGGTCCATTGACTGAAATGTTGTTATGTAGTACATGACTGCATATGACAATGTTCTCTAACTGTGGTTTAGCTCGTTCTACTTATATGATACTTTATAAATATATGTACATGTATTTTCAAAAAAACCTGAAAACTGCATAAGCCATTCCTGTTTAAATTAAAAAATAATATTTATGTCTTTAGAATTTATATTACTTTCCCATCTATACAGAAAAATATATAATTTAGAGACATTTAATTATTATTTATTTCTTTGGTGAACTAACTAGGGGGACCAGGACCCAGGACCCAATTTTTAAGATACATTTAATCTATTGCAGAAATTTTTTCTGGAATAAGACCTTTACTGCAGTGCTTCAGTGGACCATAGTTTTGTTTGTTTGTTTGTTTTTTAATGGATGAGTTATAGACTCTTGGAAATGAAATTTATAGTGGAAATGCTGACACAACTTGAGTTCCTGTATGGTGGTGTGAACTCACAGCTATAATAATTAAGCAATTAGGCATGACAGAAAGTGTGAGCTGCCTGAGATAATCACACCCCTGGGGCACTACAGTCATGATCCAAAGATAAGTCTTTTTAACCTCCCAAGGGTGTGATTACCAGATGATAACCACACCCCCTGGAGAAGACTTATGACTCATAAAAAGTCTTTACTATAAGGAAAAAAATGATTATGCTGCTATATGCAGATGAAGCTGGCTGTGGAGACTGGTATATGTATGCCACAAATTAATTAAGAATTGTAAGATGTATACCACATGAATGGTATTGGGCACTGATCCCAGAGATCAGTTTGTTTTCTTATCATTGTTGAAATATAAAGATGAGAAAAAGAATCTCCACTTCTCAACTTCAGAAAGACACGAATGATTAAAGAAATCATAAAGATTATGTTGTCAAGCCATTTTATTGGCTAGATTTTATCAAGTAATTCTATGACACAGTGTCTCATTATCTGGACTACTCTTGTTGGAGCAATTTGATCACTTTAGAATAAATATATCTTTAAGAGGATTTTGTATTATAGTCCCACTCATTCATTCATTCATTCATCCATTTTATTCCAGTACCTAATGAGCACACATTAAATAATTATGCTGGAGGTATATTTTGGATATGGAACACAGGCACATAAACAATTATAATACAGTGAGACAAATGCCAGCATGGTGGTGACTAAAGTGTGGTATAGAAAGCAAGGAAGAAAATAAGTAATTCCAGCTGGGAAAGAGTAAGAAAGCTTCATATAAGAGAAAATATTTGATCTGGATAGTAATTATAGTAGCTCCTACTTGCTGAGCATTTATTTTAGGTTAGACATTGTGTTGAGCATTTTACTTTCATAATCTTATTTTAATCTTCATAGGATCTGTGTTGAGGTGGGTGGTATTTTTCTTGCGTCACAGATACAAAAGTAAGATGGAGTGATTATGTGCCAAGCTCAAGGTGAGATAAATAGTTGGAGACATGTTAGAACTAGAAAAATGGAGCTGCTTTCAGAACAAGTACTCTTAACCACTAGGTTCTATTTTGAAATGTGAGTTGCGTCCTCGTTTATTTTAGTGTACATGAGGTAAGGTATTAAAGGAAGATGAATTTGGCAATATAAAATGGAGAGACTTGGGCAGCAATGGTGATTTTTAGTGTGTATGTGGTGAACAAACCTGGCGACCTGATTTACCAGTTGGACAGCTACACGCCACGGGCTCAAGCTGAGAAAACTTTCAGTTACTCAAGCTACATGATAAGTGTGTGCAGGTTGCTTTCGGCTAGTGGGACGGCATCTGAGTGGGCCATGCAGTGTTGGCCATCAGTGGCATGGACGTGAACGGCAAGAACACGTCTGACGGGAAAGGGGTTCTGGAGTATCTGGGTAAACCTGCTAATTACCTGGTGTCCATTATATTCTATCCTGCCTCACTTCTAAAGAGAAGCTCATGCTGGCTTCCATGTTCCACTCCCCCTTTGCCATTGGCTCCCAGCTGTCTCCTGAGTAGGGAAGCTCAGGCATTAATATGCTGGAGAAAGACACATTCAAAATGCACTGCCAGCAGACACTGATAGGGATCAAGTTTGTGGTTCTAGCAGATCATAGGCAAGCTGGAAGAGATTCTCTTCTCCAAAAGATTTATGAGATTTACTCAGACTCTGCCCTCAGGAATCCATTCTACTCCTTAGAAATGCCCATCGGGTGTGAGCTATTTGACCAGAATCTGAAGCTAGGCCTGGAAGTGGCAGAGAAGGCTGGAACTTTTGGACCTGGGTCATAGGCTGAACCTGCGATGGACCTCCAAATTCTGAGAGTTCCTGCAACAGAAATATTGCTGTTTTCACTCCAGTGGAGATCCCATCACCCTTGTTAGTGCACTTGAAAATGGGAGAATGCTGACACTGATGATATGTACTGATTCCTGAGCCTTAACACTATGCTCTTTCCGTCTGTATATATTGTGGCCTTCCTTTCCAACTCTGTACAGATTAATTTATAGAGGAGATAGGTCCATAAATGTTGTAGTAAATGCTCCTTTGATCTTGAAAAAAATAAAATAAAATAAAATGGAGAGACTCAAAAGGCACAGTGTATTCCTTGACCATTCTTTGCAACTGGAGTCTATGATGTATGGGTAGATACAATGATAGAGGGAGTCTGGAATAGTCAAGTTTGCATTACATTTGGTTAAGTCACAGAGATTCCGTGCTTTGCTAAACAGTTTGTAGGTTTGTTTTAAATGAATCCACCTCTCTGATTTCAAGGTTAGTCACATGGGTCAGCAAGAAGTAAAGATTTCTTCTTTCATTTTTATTCACAAGGATCAGAAATACTTCCTAAGAATCTATATAATTATGGCAGCCATTGTAAAAGTTATGTGTATAAAAGATATGTAAAAATAATTTCTAATTATAGTTTTGAAAATCCCAAGTTCAATATCGTCAAAGACAAAGACAGTAGAAACACAAAATTAATTTTTATTTGAAAACTAAACGTAGGTTGCATCACGCATTAGGCAAGTAATGCTCTAGAATCTAATTTTAATGAAAACCCAGGTTGTGGCTGTGCTGAGAACTTTGGGACATGCCTAGAAAAAATATTCATATTAATAAGCAAGGCCTAGTGGAGTCTCTGAGAGATACATAACTGTATAACATGTGACATCTGTTTTTGATGAGTTTGTGATCTGGTTGGGAGACAAAACATAAACAGTGTTTTCACAAATCATTAAGAGAAATGACAGAGTTATATATTATTAACAATTCTCTGGAGTTTAGATGGCAAACTACTGGTCTAATGGTCTTTGGAATAGTAAAAATTTAACAGTAAATAGAGTAGAAATCTTTCTGTCTAAAATGGGATTTGACTTATAATAACTTGGATAGAACAGACCTCTGAGTCAGTAAAGCTTGATTTTTAATTCTGTTTCAGATTACCTATATGACCTTCTACCTATTAGTTGATTCTTGTATTTTATTGTTCCTCCTATATGTAGTCAGTAGTTCCCAAACACAAAGTGGCTAAGAACATTTGAAATAATATGCATAGAGTTTAGCTTAGTGGCCAGGATCTGGGAAGCATTTATTAAATGATGGCAGTTATAAGGATGATCACAATAGCAATCATGTGATTGATGGTAACTGTGCTAGACACTAATGTAAAGATAAGTGAGAAATAATGCCTCTGAATTTGGCAATGACTTCCCCCTGTTGATAGTTCTTTGGTGTTTCACCGTCCCTTGTTGTTCTATACATATTTCTGTAAACAGTCTCTTCATTCATTTTTTAACTAAACACTTTAGAGGATGATATAGTTTGGCTGTGTCTCCACCCAAATCTCACCTTGAATTGTAATAATCCCCACATATCAAGGGTGGGGTCATGTGGAGATAATTGAATCTTGAGGGTGGTTTCCTATATACTGTTCTTTGGTAGTGAATAAGTCTCATGAGACCTGATGGTTTTGTAAATGGGAGTTCGCTTGCACAAGCTGTCTCTTGACAGGTGACATGTAAGATGTGACTTTGCTCCTTCTTTGCCTTGTGCCATGATTATGAGGCCTCCCCAGCTATGTGTAACTGTGAGTCAATTAAACTTCTTTCCTTTATAAATTACCCAGTCTCAGATATAGCTTTATTAGCAGCGTGATAACAGACTAATACAGAGTATAATGTCTCTTTCCTACAGGGATTCTAATGTTATATTTTTAAAAACTGATTTAATATATGTGCTCCTTTAAGACATTAACATATTTTAATATGAAGACAGTGTTCTAAATTGCTTTGAGTTGGGAAAATTGCTACTTTAGAATGATGTGTAATGCTTATCCTGGGGAGTTTATTACATGGTACACAAATTTGGACCTCAGCAGATTCCCTGTTCCTCGGTTTTCAGGCTCCACAAGTGGTCCAAAGTGAGCTGAATGGATGTGGTACTCTTGCGGGAGTTGCAAAGAAGGAACACTTTTACACTGCTGGTGGGAGTGTAAATTAGTTCAACCATTGTGGAAGACAGTGTGGCAATTCCTCAAGGCCTTAGAAATAGAAATTCCATTTGACCCAGCAATCCCATTACTGGGTATATATCCAAAAGACTATAAATCGTTCTACTATAAGGACACATGTACACGAATGTTCATTGCAGCACTGTTTACAATAGCAAAGACCTGGAATCAACCCAAATGCCCATTGATAATAGACTGGATTGGAAAAATGTGGCACATATACACCATGGAATATTATGCAGCAATCAGAAATGATGAGTTTGTGTCGTTTGTAGGGACATGGATGAATCTGGAGAACGTCATCCTCAGCAAACTGACACAAGAACAGAAAATGAAACACCGCATATTCTCACTCATAGGCGGGTGATGAAAGATGAGAACACATGGACACAGAAAGGGGAGTACTAAACACTGGGGTCTATTGGGGGGAAAAGGGGAGGGCCAGTGGGAGGGGGAGGTGGGGAGGGATAGCCTGGGGAGAAATGCCAAATGTGGGTGAAGGGGAGAAGGAAAGAAAAGCACACTGCCATGTGTGTTCCTACGCAACTGTCTTGCATGCTCTGCTCATGTACCCCAAAACCTAAAATCCAATAAAAAATTTAAAAAAAAAAGAATGACCTTCACAGTGGCAGGCACAACCTGCAGGACCAGTTTGGCTTCTCTTTCATTCTTCACTACCTTCTCCATTTTTAGAAATAAATATAGAATCAAAATTTTGAATGCAATACCTTTAGTTTAGATATTAGGAACCCTAATATTGGCACTGTGACAAATTTTTTAAAACATAGGTTCTTGCTTCCTGAAATGAATTTTATATGATTGTTTTTCTGGTTTTCACATGTTTGCTACATGTCATCCTACAGTGCTCTTCTACTTAAACTTTGCTCAAAAGAAGATATGACGAGACCTATTGATAGGACCAAAATCCGAGATCACATTAAGAAGAAGACTTTAGAAACACCAAAAAGTTTATTTACGTGGGCTTTTGGAATTCTCACCATCACTAGGAATCACTTCAACGAGGGAATTTTTGGAAAGAAAGCAATGTAAAGAATGTCCAAGCTATGAGCAGGTTACTTAGCCACTTGGAAGGACGGTTTATTCATTGGTAAAATGAAAATAAAACCAACTTACAGAGTTGTCGGGAAATCAAAATAAAATAAGAAAAGAACATATCAACATGCTCACACAGAACAGTTGTTCAGCAATTTAGAGCTATTGCTACAATCACAATATTAATGATAGAGCCTTCTTTCATTAATGTTTGGTGTGGGATTGGTTTGGATGTATTTTAGTTAAACTGTTGCTATCTCAATAATTGAGTTAGTGAGATAAAGGAAAGTTCCAATTCGTAATTGCTAGTATAAAATGAGCCCTTGGAATATATTGGTCACAATTTTAAGCACTTTACTCTTATTAATTTATCTACTGATAACAAATTTTCTAGGTAAGTAGTATTATTCCCATTTTATATATAAGAAAACTGAGACACAAAGAAGTCAAATGACTTGCCTGTGTTCATATGACTAGTAAGATTAGAGGTAGGATTTGAATTCAGGCTGTCTGACTCTAGAGAGTTCTTAGTCATGAGGCTTTCTTCTTCCCCAAGACCCACGAAGTTTGTTTGGAAAGCAGGAGTTGATATGCTGTCTGAGAACAGTGGATATTCAAGTTAAAAATTACTAAATTTAAAAATACAGCAACTTCAAATCTTTTCTAGAATAAGGCAGGGGAAAACAATGATTATTACTTGATAACTATAAATGGGTAAATAGACATAATTATGTTATAATTCTTAACTGCATAGTTATCCAAAGATTGCAATAAAATAATGTTTATTATTTCAGATGTGGCCTTAAAATATCATGAAAAATAGTGTATATTCAAAAAAATCCAAATTCCTTCAAGTTGTTTAATTAAAGATGAGACTTTTCTTATCTATTTTAGGTCAAGGAAGTGTGGGATTAGAAGCTGAAAAAACCCCAGATGACTATATGGAAGGTTACTGGATCTGACTTTTCATATCCTGTCAATCTGTTGTCACTTTTTATTTGCCCAGAATCAGATAAAATTCAATCATAATGTTATACAATTTCCCAAGCTCAGAAATAAATTAATAATTTTAAAAAGAGAATTAAGGAGGTCTGAAAAAATACAGAATTAAATATTTTGTAGTTATTTTCTCTCTTTCATTTGCTATTAGGAAAATATGTCTTGATGTTTTTGTTAGTGGATAAAAGTAGAGAATGCCTAAGCATTTAATATAAATTGAAGAAATAAAAGAATGATTGTCTTATAAAAGGAATATTGTTAAGATATTTAAATAGTGTAAGTGGATCGAAAATAAATTAGTGATTTCCAGAGGCTGGGGAAAAAGGAGAATGGAAAGTGACTGTCAATGGGAATAGGGCTTTTTTAGGTTATAAAAATATTTTGGAATTAGATAGTTATGATGGTTGCAGAATGTTGTGAATATATTAAGAACATTGAATTGCACATTTTTGAAAGGATAAACATTATGCAAAGGTTTGTGAATTACATCTTGATTTAAAAATCTAATGCAAAATAAGTCAATGCAGAACCTTTGCATGTAAAGGGAAAGACTGCAGTATGGGTCACAGGAACAGAATTTTAGAGTTGGAATTATTAAAGGAGAATTACCAAATACATGAATAAATAAAAAAAGGTCACAAAGCCAATATGTTGGAAGAACACAATTAATCTCCAGTTACTGGTGATTTGAAGGCAATGTACTCAAAGTGACCACATTTTCCAACATAATAATTCAAAGGGCAAGTGGGCTAACAAAGCACAGTGCTAGCCTGGTCCTTTATGTATAACATGATATGGGAATTACAATCATAATATCTCGTTGTTGAAATGGGAATATCCAGATTTCAAGTACTTAGGGATACAGCAGAACGTAATGTTTAGACCACAACTATTCTGAAATATTCATAATTACAGATTTCTGTTTCTCATTAGAATTCTTCATTGGCTGAAAGAAATTCTAACTAAGTGACACAAAAAATAAAATTAAAAAGATAAATAATAAAATAATATTA